AATTAAAGGTTAAATAAAATTATGCGCAGGCGCATTGGCAAAGACCACAAAAATTGAATCTGGCGCACAGTCAACTTCAGTAGCCCAAGCACGGGGGAGCCACGGTCTCCATACATCATAGCTCCATTAATTTGGCTGGCTCACGACTACCGATACACCAGCTGCGGCTAATGACTCATAAGGAACGACTACACGATCGATGTCACGAGCTTAAATTCGCATCTGCGCAAGCGACGGAGGCGAGAACGTCGACCTACTTCGTGGCGCGCGCGCTGTGCCACAGACTAACTGTAATTGGAGCTTTTCAGTTAAAAAAAGAACTATAAAGGAGCAAGGCTTAGGAGCCTACTGCTAATATTTGATTGTTAGTACGTTTGCGCTTTATTAATAATAAATGTAAAGTATATTTTTATTTTTAGCGCCTTGACATAAACAAATCAGTATAATAAGCTGTGTGAAGGCAAAAACATTAATTTTGATTGATTTGATCAAAGATTGAATATCTATTGTAGAGAATATAATGCACAAATATACAGGGCCCTATATAGTAGAAGTACAATATTTATCTAACCCAACCATTAAGTGTGGGCATCAGCTACAAAAACTTGACAGTAAGCTCAGATATTCGTATTACGCCGATATTTTTTAATGATAATTTAATGGCAAATAAAGACGAGAACCCACAAACTAATTAAATTGTATCAAGGAAAGGTCTTTAAGAAACTTCACGTGCAGACAAATGCCGCTTGTGCTATGCAGTACAGTACAAGTAATAAGATCAAATCTAACTCACCTATAACAACAGTATGGAAGGCAATTTCCTACCGCTATAATTCAACACTCAATCAAAACTGAGCCAACAGAAGTTACCGTCAAATTGCGCTATCACCGATAGCCTAACGACTTCTTTATTATAGCTTCGAGATTGTTTCGAATTAACCCTGACGAAATTGTATTCTTCGCAATCACCGTGACTTTATGGAAGAACAAAGTACAAGTATGTAATTGAAAAAAAACTCTTATCGCTATTATTTTCGCTACGTCAGTCAACATTCGCAGGATATGTGATCGTGTACCAACATTACAATTGTTAATAAACTAAACACCCTTTTTTTAACTTGTAAAAACTTACAAGTTTAACATACCGTTTAAGTAATTGAAGGAATAACTATCTTTGAAAAACTTATTGGTGATTTATTAATACCCGTCAAGTATATATATGATTTTTAAACAGTTGCAGTACTAAATCTCTGTTTAATTACTACAATTGTTCTACGAGAAATTTAGCCCTGCCAACTGATCGCAAAACATCTCTTTGACTCTTAAATTCCCTAAACACAGGCCTGAATAACGTAGGGTTTGTTTACTTTGTTTACTACCACGAAAGACATATAAAGCACAGCAAATTGGTGGACACCACAAATAGCAATCCATCTAAGAACCACCAAAATAGGTCTCTATGCACCAGTTGCCCTAAGCGAGTTGGGACGTAACTCTCCCCACGATAGCATCGGCACGAGCGATGGCGATGAAACTCGAATGTTTACGATTTGATCGGGCGCGTGCGCAATTGTTTCAACTTTAACTGTACACTTTATTTATGTACGTAGCCTGGCTTCCATCGTCACGTATTGTATGTTTAATGCGCATAAACCAGCCTTCGGTTTATCTTTAAATAAGGTTAGACATTCTAGAATGTTATCTCAATCATTCCGCAATGTTATATTTAATGAGCTTTTTCTAGGGCATTACACCTTTCTCTGGGTGTTTTCGCCTTTTCAGAGTAACGGGGTTTTATTTTAACATTGGTTTCAAAATATACACTATAAATTTCCTACAGAAGTCACTTTGTACATTAGGAATACTAGTACACTTATTTTGAGATAAGCTCAAGTTATAATAATAGTAATTGTTTCGTATCTACTGGTTTGGACAAGAAATTATTACCTCAACCGGAAGACGCAGTGAACAAATTTTGTCTATGTTTTATTACTATTAAAAAAACTGTCCGTTAAAGTTCGTACATAGCGATGTAATGTTTACTTTAATTTAAATTTTAAGTTAATAAGATTCACCATAATGTGAAGGTTTAATATAATTTTATGTAAACCTTTTCGGTTCATGTGGCTGGCATCAGTGGAGCTTTTATATGTTAATATTTCCCCTGAAGGCACAGACTATAGACAATAATTTATAAGGGCAATAGTGAAAATGTAATGGTAAACGGGAGCAGAATATCATCGCACGTGTCGGCCATATGCAAATGCGCATTAAAATGCAAGATGGCGGAAGCGCGCACGCGAGGTCCCGGGGTCGCACCACTACGCGCTATTGTCCGCGCTGAATCGGTAGTCAGCGGCGGTAGGGCTGCCTTATGCTTATTAATACATTCTGAAAATATAAATATGCTGTGCCAACGACTTTGCGTAAAATAGTTATTTTGGGCATAATATTATTTCTTCTTGCTCACAACCTCATTTATAAATTATAGCCGTTACATACGCTGTCAGCCACGTCGCGTCGCGTTAATTGAGTTCTTGCTAAATTTTAAACATAGATAGATAGAAAAAAGATATAATTCTTGAAATACGTAGTTTTTTGGTTTCAAAGATAAAAATTTTCCCGGCCTTTTCCACATTTCCCTCTGTTTCTTCGCTATTCCTAGCGGTCGTAGCCTGCTCTTTTGTAGCCTAAAGTCGTTATCGATAATTCGTTTAACCAACAGCAATTTTTTTTTATAGAGAGAGAAATATTTGAAAACTTTATTATTTTTTATATGTTATTGCACATGAATCCACTATATAATTTAAAAATCGAAAATAAATTGAAAAAAAAATTCGACTCGGGCAGGACTTGAACCGGCATCGTCAGCGTTCCGTGCTGTTACTCTGCCCGCAGAACGCTGGCGATGCCGGAAATTTTTCGAAATTATTTTCGATTTTTAAATTATACAGAGAAATATTTCTTTCCAATTTTAAAAATATTTTAAGTTGTAATAACATCTTATTACTTTTCGGCTTTAAACGAGTATGTTATCTAATTTAAATTTTAAAACGCGATATATTAGTTAAACTTATATGCTATCTAAATTGTAACATCGTCCTAAAAAAAACGTTCGGTCAGTGGATAACGAGGCAACCCTAACAAGAGCGTCCGATTTGAAACAATTTAAGTTGTAATGAAGTTCGGAGCCTGCTCGCGCGCAACAGATATAGGCTCTAATGTCCAGGGGGCAAAGGCCACGGGTCTAATGAAGCACAGATACGCCGGGGTGCAACACCGCCATTCCGCTTCTAATTCGAAAACGGGGAATACTTTAATGAATTTGAATCTAGCGTTTCAAAGGCATAAGTCATTCTTCAAGCCTGACTTATTATAACAAATAGATCAACATCGCATCTTGTTTAGATGTAATATGGCTGGATTATTTATCACTCCCCTTAAGAGTCTATTGTCTACTATAAATACTGACTAAGTGTCTACCATAGACATATTGTTGCAGTAGCTTATTAGTACCTATGGATGTGCCATTAAGATCACAAAACGAATTACATTTCCTCAATAATTCTCTCCCCGAGCAGGAAAATCCGAAAACTTCATCTGAGACAATTAAATTAAATAAAGATAATAAATCAAGGTTCATCAATGTTAATAGTTGATAAATTTAGTAGTTTACGCGATTAGTATACATAAAGAAAAAAAATCGACGGTTTTAAACGCGAAAAATATAAAGGAAACATAATTTTGCCCACCCATGCTGCTGCTAAAAATCAGATCAGTTACTTTAATGAATATGTTTTACGTTTAAAGCAGTTACAAGAGTTTCATAATGTTAACAGTTTTTTAAATGTTCGTACTATAATATGCCTCCTTCGCACACTCAAATAAAACAAAATGTAAAAAAATAAAATTTTATTATAAAACTTAAAGCAAGGCTTATGCTAAGGAAGTCACATTATGAGTAAAAACATCGAAAATAGAAAGTGATATTTTCTTCTTACTCCTTAATCTAAATGAGTTTTAATAGAGCGTCATTTGTTATAGAACTAAGAAACAACGAGATCAACAAACAGCCCAAAACCTATTTACAAATTAAGAAGAACAATAAGATTTAAATAAAACACTTTAACGGCTTAAAACGCGATATATTAGTTAAACTTATTTGAAAATGATTTGTAACTTCGGACCGACGTTTCGGATGCTTTGCAGCAGCCGTTGAAGTTTAACTAATATATCATCGTTTTAAACCGTTCAAGTGTTTTATTTAAATGTGTACTACTCGCGTAAACTATAGACAGTATAAGATTAGAGAGAATAATAAGATTAGAGAGAAGGGGAATAAGAGTGAATCTACCTTCTCTAAGTAATAACAAAGTTACATACCTAATATTTAGTGGACTGTTGTAAAAATTTATTTATATTTAAGGTATAGCTATTTTTTTTATTGACGGGCTCATCGTCGACCAATGAGTCGCGGGTTCGATCCCCACCGTGTCCAAAAATATGTCTAATCAATGTATCATTTTTCTGAAGCAACTTGGATTTCGTCTGGAAATCTGGAAATCTGGATTTCAAAGGGGAAGTAGATAGCGTATCTTGCTTATATCTCCTACCATCACGTCAGCCCTATGCTCGTCTATACTGCTCTATCATACAAAAATGTTATGCTTATCAAAACGGTAGCTAACCCAGTCGGACTGAGTCAATTATTTAACTAAACTTATTAATTATCAAGTACCCATAGGTATCGTGAAGAATTAACCGTTTTTGTCGAATTTTTAAGTAAGATACGACGAGGTATATACTTGGAAGGCCCTATCGTCGTCTTATTGCATCTTTATTGACTATAGTCCAACGAGTATTTGAAAATCAACATCTTAACTTGTAGTAATGTCTATCATTAAATACTCGAAGTGTCGAGCGCCCATCGACCATAGACTATACACATACAGTTTACACTCATCACACACACAAGCAAAAATATGGAAAGGGCTACGCACACTTTCACATAAACGGGCGACGAGTCGTCTCGGCGTTCGAGCGCCGGCGTTGGTAAGACCTGCGGACCAATTTATTAATTAGTAACAATAACAGATATTAAAATAAAACACTTTAACGGTTTAAAACGAGATTGAAAATTAGTCTAACTACGGCCTGAAGTTTCAGATGGTTTGCAACAGTCGTGGTAACGGGTAGATTAAACTAAACTTAACGAATACTGCCTGCAGGTTACGCGAGAAGTGAACATTTAAATAATTTTTAACGGTTTAAAACGCGAAATATATTAACCTATTTATAATTTATTTGAACTAGCCGTGGTTTCCAGCCCCCGTGAAGACAGCTTAAAACCCCGGCATATTTAAAATAAATTTTAGATTAGTTAACTAATAAATTTCGCGTTGTAAATTGTTAAAAAGTAAAGTCGTAAGTTAAAAATTAAATTACATTTCACATTTTGACAAGATAGTGGTATTAAAGTTCTAAATGACGTTTTAACGGTTCAAGAAGTGCGCTTAGTAAGCCATTTAGTGATATATTTTTTGTACTATAGGTATATAAAGCTTAGTCATACTTAAGTAATAACTTTTTATTTTTTTATTACAATCGCTCAATTGTATTTCAATTAAAAAAAGAAATAAAAATACCTTATTGTTCATGCCTTTATACTTGGCGAAGGGCACCAATTTCACTTTTTTGTTGTTCGAGAAAGCTCTGAGCACTGTCTTTGCCAGGTCCCGCCTGGACAGCCCGACCAGAGCAGACGTATCGTCGAGGAACTGAATTGTTATTTGACCTGCAATTACATATTCATATTGACTTGTATTGGATTGGAAAGAATGTAGTTCACTTTAAATTTTTGAAAAATAAAACATGGTGATAGGAGTGACGGCGAGTTTCTTGTCAGTTCTCGTTCGTTCTCCGCCCTTGATACTGGTAGTAAATGTAAATTTACTCGTATTTCGTTTTTAACTGGTTTGACGTTCATAAGTATACTCCATAACTGATTTTTTACTTTTTTCAAAAGCTCAATCATGCCCTATTTGAACTGCGATATAATGGAGGGTTCTCCTTTAATATTTACTTAAAGTTTCGATTTTATGACAAGATATCCAAAAAGGTTTTACCTGAAGAATCTTTAAAAATTTAAGATATTAGTTTGCAGAATGAGAACCAAATAACATGAAATGGAAAGAAAACAAAAAAAAGACAAAGAAAAGAGGTATTCACCATAAGCACTAAATAGTTGATTGATGTCATTTCGTTGCCACTCCTTAGGGAACATCATGTGAAAGACGTGATCTCTGGATGGTGTAGCTGAAACAAATAAAATCTCATATTAAGTTACCTATACATATAATCTACCACACGTAGGAACTTAGTAAGAACTGAAATCTTTATTTCGAAATTAAAAGGTGTGGCCTATCAATACGAATACCATAAACTTTGAAAATAATACAAATAAAAACATTTTCTTACACATACATACATACATACAAAAAACACACCCCCATCCCTGGATATGTAAATTCAGTTCTTGTTTTATGCACCTATAATATATAACCTTGTCACTTGGGAAATCTTATTAATTTATTATTGGTAAATCCTTGTAATCTGCGTAATTAATTGCCTAATTATAAGAAAAAAATTCTTTTAGCTGTAAGGATTTCTGTAAATAAATAAATGAATTCCATGTTTTTTTTAATTAGCAAAAATTAATACTTACGATCTGCGCCAGCCAAATTCATGTATGGTGAGTCCTGGTGGGCTGTCTTCGCGAGGAACACCTTATTGAGGAACGGCCTTAGCAGCACACTGTCACCGGTCACGCGTCGTTTCTCTTCGCCGCGCATGCGCGCTAGATGCGTATGCATAGCCAGAAAGCATAACCCGGTAACGTACGCGTCGTAACCGGCCTCGTGCTGCTTGTCATCCGCGTACTTATAGCCGCGGCCCTCCGCTGAATCTATTTTATCGAGACTACATTAATTATGATCCTTCGAGCCGGATTTGCGTTACCAATGAAACTTTTGTTACTAAAAATGACTTAATTTTGAGGAAATATAGAATTAAAAATATTTTAATTGTCCGATAAAAAGATTTAAAGGAACTAAAAACTTATTCCATAAAACTATTAACTTTTACAAACATAGTAATTATTATTTTTTTTCATAGAAATAGAAGTTTACAAATTAAATATGACTTACCAATTTCTGGCAATGAGAAAGGAGATTCGGATAATGTTGCTAAAAGATGCTGAAGGACGCTGGAGTTCACCTTATCTTTGAAAGGTGGCAGGCTCGACATATATTTAGTGTCTAATATCCTTTACATAAAAAAAATACAAAACCTGTAATTATTGTTATAGTTAAATAAGATGAATTATAGTCCTATATTTTTGATGAAAATCCGCAAAAATAAAAGGAATTAAGTCCACTATCTATAAAGTGGGGGTAGGGAATTTGGCCACAATGACTTAACTGTTAAGACTTTAATAATAATAAAAGAATAATCATCAGTAAGTTAATACATTTATACAATGGGAAAACTGAACACCTATGGTATAGGAAAACCATGCTGTAACATGCAAACAGAGGTCTGCGCAGCATGACTTATAGGGATTATATAATTGTGTTTGTATGTAAGGCGAAGCGCCGATTTCGAGATAAGTCATTCTTAGCACTAATATTTCCAACAGGGACAAGCCAATATAGAAATGGGCCTCTCTTATTGTTTTAATAATTCTCCAGTGCTAAACTATTAATTTGCAATTTATTACACAATCCAATGACAACATACCTTGGAAACATACAATGCGCAAACTCCTTAAATGACTGGTAATCAGAAGGCAGTGGTTGGAAGAAGTGGTTGAGGGTATGTAAAAGATCTAGAAGCAAATTGTGGCCTATCACTAATTTTTCCTGAAATAATATAATTTACTTCGTATAAGTATTTGATACCTAAAATAAGCAAAAGAAATTTCAATGCTTTTGAAATATACAAAGGACATATTCTGCTATTTCTCTTTAAATTACTAAATGTTACTTTCTGATAAAATTTTGACCAATCCAAACTCACCGATTGGCTGATCATTCTCGCAATCTTGGAGAAACCAACTGCTTCCTCCAATTCCTCCCATTCTTTTTCCTTTTTCTCATCGTCCCGACTCTTTCTATCCTGCGACGACGATAGCCTCGTCACTTTTAAAACCCTGACAAATACACATAATAATATAAATATTTTTCTCCATAACACTACTATACCATTTTAATGTGCCATATAAAGTTCTCTCATTCTTTTTAACTACTATGTTATAATATTACCTGTCTTTATTCTCCAGTACTTTAGTCTCCACAAAAGCCACATCTTTATACCGAGTTCCTAACTCTTGGAAAAGCAGCCGTCGCATGAACGCATTACACCTGTCTATTTCCATTTCCTCTCTCTTATTTTCTTTTAAGAACACACCAACTTTTTTGCTATAAAGAGAATAATCAAGATATAATAGTCACAGTGAAAGTTGTTTTCAGTTCTGAAGCTTTCAACATTATTTTGCATGCCCTTATGTCACACTATTTAACCTCTTAGTTTTAGAACTTTACTAAGTTTTCATAGAATTTCTCCTATTATTCACAGGGTAATCAAATTTTTTAACATTAGGTACACATGCAAGATTAACTTACTTTAAGTATTTTTAATTAGTACAGACTGTGTTGTTACCGTTTAAACACAAATATCTCATAAAATAAAGCAATAATTAATTACCATATATCTTCAATCTGTGATTTAAATTCATTGGGGATTGAAATAGTTCCTTTATCATTAGTGTATGACTTTTGCCTTTCTGTTAAAAAATCACGCAATCTTGTCTCCGACGGTTCTGTCATGTATGATATACCTGAAATTACAAAACATCACCTTTAATGCTTACAAAACCTGTGGAATTCGAGTTGAAAACTGCTATATATTCTTGAAATATTTTTTATATTATTGTATAATAAAATTATTTTAACTTAACACACTTACAACCTACATGTCATAGAGAATACTGTGTGAATAGTATCTTTATATCTTGTAGCGAATATTATAATCGAGATTCTAGGAAGATACAAAATAAAACATGTTTGAATGTACACACTTCAACAACAGGCAATATTCATCATAAAATTACACAAATATATTAAATTGATCAATTAAAACCAAAAGAAAGGAATACTTTTATTATTTTATAAAGACAATCTTAAAATTATTAAACATATTATGCATTGTCAAGTATCTAGGTACTAAAAGGATTTCAATAATATTAATATTACAACATACCTTCTTTTATTAATTTATTGAAGTCAAAACCTTGTGAAGCAAGAAAATCTAAGCTGGAACTTTGACACAAAAATATTTTCTCCGGTCCTGGACGACCACGGGGGAACAAGTAGAAGTTATACGCGTCATTCGTATATTTTTCCTCATTCTCATTCCAATGGAAAGCGCATAAACCGAATTGAATCAAAAGAAACTCTGTTGACCCATTCAAAATAGTAGTGTAGTACTCTTGGGGCGAGTCGAATATAGACACATCTCGACCGTTGATCAAGCCCGTAAACTCGGTATCTATTACCAAAAAATCGGCATTTTCAATAGACGCTGCTACTAATGGCAGGACTTCTTTGAAATCTGGAAAAATATTATAAAATATAGAAGTAAATCACAATAGTAATAAAACGTGGTGGGACTAAAACTTCACTTACTAGAACGAGTAACTTCCATAGTTGTCTTGCTGCATGTGTTTTAAAGGATTTAATAACTCATTTATTAGAACAAAATACTTAATAATTAATATAATATACTATTTAGTATTTACTATATAGAAATAATATCATCACAAAACCCAAACAGAACCGGGACTTAATGTTGCCAGTTCTATTTGTCCACACTGCCAAATTTAAAACAAACAAATACTTAAAATACAGATACTGTAATCAAACTATTACTAAGAATAAAAATATTTTATCACATAATATACAAATTAAATACGGAAACCATTGTGTTTTTTGTATATAATTTCTTGTGTTTAAATGGTAAAATATGCCTTTGTTGCATTTATTTCGCCAGTTCAAAAACAGGTAGTCACAGATAATACTAATATTTATGTTATGTTTACGGTGACAATAATATGGCAGATAGTGTCGGAAGTTTGGTATCGCTTAATGCTTATGCTACAGTATAGCACCGTATTCATCAGCCTGCATCAGGATCAGCTATTAAAATTGGGTTTACAATATAACTCAAAAAACCATCTTATAAATTATAATATACATAATAAAAGAAAAAACGTAAAAAGTCAAGTTTATTTTGAAATGATTAAACAAACTATGTTACGTATAAATGCGAGTATTCTTAAAAAAAAAAAACATCGTTGTTACTTTCAAAACATGTATTTACTACAGTAAAGAAAATAATAGATGAAAACTTAAATATTGCACTCTTTACAAAGGAACAGAAACACCATTCTACTCTCACATAAGTTAAATCAATTGATAGTAAAGTCGCCTATAAAAATTACAAGATAATTTTTTCTAATTGGGTCGTAAGTTTTTCGTAAGCTGCTTTATTTCTGTATAGATGTATATTCGCCTTTACCTTCTTCATAAGTAAACGAGGATCGACATCACTTAACGATAATAAGGCATCTGAAATAACAGTAAATAATACATAATTAAAATAGAACCGCAGATTCGTTTTTTGTATTATTTTAGAGTAAAATTTGATAAATCAAAAACATTACCTAGCATTTCCTTCCTAAAATCCTCATTTGTATCATCCAAATGAATCAACATGGCGCTGTAGAGGGCGTCAATATGGGCATTAAACACGACACAGTCATATGGTTGGGGTCGACACTTAAACAACGTGCAAAGACTTTGGACGGCAAACGAACGGACTTTGTCGTTACTGTCATCTAAACGCTTTAGGGTAACTGTGAAATAAGAAAATTACGTTTTTATAAACAAAACCATTGTGTATTGGCTGCATTATTGCAGTTACCATTATTATAAAGACAAGCGTTTTAAAGTTGACATAATGTAGCCATTGCGGATATGATAATTTCCGTAGCTCGGTTTAACGATGTTTTAAAAAACCTACTATTTCTTTGCAAGAACAAGAGAAATAAATAGAATTCTCCTTTTTAGTTTTCATCAACTAAATATTAATATTCTTACCAAAATACAATTTATGTAAAATCTCTACAGTGAAGCAATCCTTGTCCTTGGCTTGTATAGCGAGGGAGCAAACTGCACGTAACGCATGCTGTCGCGTCAAAGCCGAATTGTCGTCCACCAAGCCAGCAATAAGTGGCACTAGTTCTTCGAGGAATTTCTCTAGAGATTCCTTATTAGGGAACAGATTTACCACTTGCTAGAGGAGCAAAAAAATATGTTTTATATCTAATAATAATAATAATTATATCTAGTCAAATCTAATGTTAGCCATGTATGCCTAATAATCAACGGGTTGTGGATTCGATTTCCACCGGATCCAACGGCAACATGTTTCTTATTTTTCAATTTATAACTTTTCTCACTGGAAATCTGGATATTACGGGTGGTAAAAAATATCGAAATTCCGTTCGTGTCACGAACTACCGTCCATAAATAAAAAACCTTAAAGTTTAATCTCGTTTCAGAGTCAGACTGTCGATTTCCAAATATCCTAAGCCAAAATAGATCGATGGCGCATCTTGTTTAGATGGTATATGTTTGGAAAAGTTCACCTTCCATTAAGTGAACACCCAACTGTTTCTATATACCCCATCCTGTCTGTGAACAAAGTCAGAAGTAGGAAATTCTTTTAGTAAGAAGTTATTTATTTGTTTTTTTTACGAAACATCATACAAATATGTTCCGTTAAATAAATTATTTCTAACTTCTTACCTTACTGTTATTATCCCCATCGCCTTTTTCTAACGTATCTGTGTCCTGTAGAATTGCGCAAAGACACGCAACGGCGGATGTACGGACCGCCTCAGCGGTACGACCCGGGGACCACACCAAATTTGGCAATAGGACCTCTGAAAAATATAACGTTAATAATTAGTTCGTAATATCTACGGCGTAACACTAGTGTCGTTTAATAAAAATGCGAAGTTAATGTAAAAAATTAAACATAAAACGAGCCAAAATGTTATCTGCTTGCATTTATGGGTAACTAGCTGTGCCCGCGACTTCGTTCGCGTGAAATAGTGACTTGGGGTAGAATTTTTAATTATTTAGACTGTTTATTAATTTACGTAATTCCGTATTTATCGCAGTCGATCTATGTTGTAAGTGCTACTTTGCCGCAACACTCTCACCTCACATAACATAATTCCTACTCTAACTTCCACTCTCACTCTCACTCCCACCCCCAGTCCCACTCCTATTCTTAAAAAAGCCAAAGAAGAAAGTTTCAATGTTCTATCTTCAAAAACCACGAATTTCCATACATACTTTCACCCCCCACCCCCCCCCCCTTTTTAACCCCTTACAACCCCCTTTTCGCAATAAAAATTAGCCTATGTTCTTTTTCAGGGTCTAGACTATATGTGTACCAAATTTCATTCAAATCCGTTCAGTAGTTTTGGCGTGAAAGAGTAACAGACAGACAGACAGAGTTACTTTCGCATTTATAATATTAGTAAGGATAGCATCGACGTTAGTTCTAAGTTTTCAATCAACCAACGACACAGATTGTTTTCCAAGAAAAGTTTATCCACGCCCAAGGAACGGTTTTTTAATAAATAAATACTAATCAGGCTTAAAAACTAAAGTATTAAGTAAGTATCTCCAGATTACGCGAATAGTACACATTTAAATAAACACTTTTAAAACGCGAAGTATATTAGTTATTCCTACATGAACGGGACGTTTGGGATGCTTTGCGACTTTGTTAATCTCCTCGTGGCCCGTCAAGGACTGTTTAAATAGAGTTTACCTTGAATGACAATTTGCAGAAACGCTTCAAGTTTGTGTGGATCGCATTTTCTAAAATTAGTCTCCCTTTGGAGTAAAACAGTGGATAGCGCTGTGAATATCTTCAGCTTAACTTCGGGATCAACTTTCGGTTCAGCGAGACATTCGCGAAGGAGGGGGGCGATAAGATGCAACTGTCCACCCATAGCATAACCTAGACAATATAAAAATTATGAAAACATTAGTCTAAAACGTAATAACGACATGACAGCGACGTATTTTTCAGAAAACCTAAATAATATGCAAAATGAACAATGTCGATTGATAAAACTTCTTTAAAAACTGTTTTAGTCAAACATGCCTTCAAACAAATATTTACGCGAATAGTACTCATATAAATAAAACGCTTTTAACGGTTTACATCGGGCTATAGTTAAAATAAAGTTAAGTAATATATTTCGCGTTTTAAACCGTTAAAATCGTTTTATTTACACAAAGGTAAGCTACTAAATCTGTATATCTATTGGAAAGTTTTTTACCTGAGTGCAGCAGCACACACTCCAGCAAGCATCGATCGGGCGTCAGTAAGGTCCAGGTAACAGCATCGCTCGTTATATCAGAGAGGATTCGGTGAATGTGTTTTTCGTATAACGAGTAGAGGGTCTTTCCACACTGCTCTATATAGCGCAACTTGTCTAAATTTGCTGCAATTTTAATTATAATGTTATGTAACAATATATCAACCCAGCATATAAATATATGTTGACAGACTCGTAGGTCAATGGTAGCGATGTATATGATAATTAGTGGGTTGTGATAATAAACGGGTAATTATAATTTTTGTGACACGCGTTGGACTTCGTCCTGAAGTCTGACTATCAAATGGGTATCGAACTACCGTCCACAGACGAAAAAGCCGTGAATGTTCAAAAGTCTAAATTATATAAAAATATGAAACTGAACACTTACACAACGCCATGAACTGAATATTATCATCAACTGGCATAGCATATACCGTGAAGTTGATGATGAACAAATCCTCGGCGACTTCGGTGCAGTCCTCTTTACAGAGGTCCATCAATGCTTCGCACACTTGCAAGAGGTTTTTCTGGTATTTAGGCTATAAAAACATATTGATGTTATTTCTTAAAGGTCGTAACAACTTATATAATGACTATATTGTATTGGGGACACCGATAGAAGGCCAGGTAATCAGCCAACATTCGATGCTAACAATGCAATTTCCCAAGCACTTATGATAATAAAAATAAATAATAGAAGCTTTTTGAATTTTCAAGCATCTGGCTCCTGACAGTGGCATCCGTTCATGGTGGTGAAACATGACTGTTTTTTTCATCTCTAAAACGCTCTGGATAACATATTATATCTAGCGGAAAAGAAAAATGATACACAGAAAGACATTCCCGACTCTAATTTATTTACGTGTTTAGATTACAAGTATTACCGCTGTAGCTGAATGGTTAAACGTCCTGTTTTTGCCCCATGCCCACAGGTGGACATCGGATTTCACCTCCCTTAGGTTGTAACCTGACTTGTAAGTCAGGATAGCATTTACCTTTCTGACCCTACAGTGATCTGGATCAGCCATTTCTTTGCACAGCTCCTTCATGACCTTGACTTTGACCAAATCTCGTTGTGATCCTCTCAGTATATTTGCGATGACAAATAGGGCGCTCCAAGAGTCCACTTCTGTTTCCAGGAACGGCCACCAGGTGTCGGGAGTTATGAAATAGCCGAACAATTCCGAGGCGCGTTTTATCTAAAATAAGCGTAATTAACAATCTATTTTAGAATTAAATATTTAGTAGTCCATTTTGTTATTTCTCAAAATATTGAACAATTGTTTAAACCGTTTAAAATGCAAAATATTTGTGATAATTAGCTGTGTCAGCGACTTCGTCCGAGTCCTCGATAAATGCTCTAACCAACACAAAAAAATTGTTTTATTTCGAGATTAGCGCGTTCAAACAAAAACACTCTTCAGCTATATATATTATATTAGTATAGATTTTACACCGCCAAATTATTTACCTCAAGCACAACCCTCTGGTCATCATCAGAGGCACCTCTGTGCAGCGTCCTTACGGTGGTATTGGCATGCTGTGTTGAACCCTCTTCAGCACATAGCAGCAACCAGCAAAGCAGTTGAGCAGCACGAAGGCGGGCATCAGCTCGCCAGCCTTCCATCTCTGAAAAAGTAATTTAGTTTTAATTAGCTATATCCATTTAACGGTTTTTAATCGCGATATGTTCTTTTACCTTCGTGATAAGCTTCTACATACATCTATTGGCAAATGATTTAAATTATTTTTTTAATTGTATTTATATATGAAACGTATTTGTTATTTATATAAGATCTGTACTAAAATACTTGCAAAGGCAGCGTTATAATTTTCAAAACCTTACAAGAGCAACACAGTAGCTTGAGTATAATACCAAGAACGTAATTTAAAGTCTATAATAATTTTTGAAACAGATACGTATGGTACAAAAGGTCTTAGTAACATAAACATAAGTTATTTCCTTTGCTGCCCGAAAATATTAGGTATGTAACATTACTTTTGAAAAGTCTCTACTATATCATTATCACTACAAAAACAATTATAATACAAAACCTCTTCCAATAGCCGGTACTATCTTGCCAATATTACTCTGAACAAGAACTCTGCATCCCAAATTAGGTCTCTTGACATCAGGATAGTGAGTGGGGACGTCTTTCAGAAAATCCGTCTTCTTCTTCAAGTCCTCTTCATTTTCTTCCATATATTGAAGCCCAATGTCCGTCCACAGTTTCGTAGCTGTATCTCGCACGTCTGCCATGACGTCACTCAAACTGGTAATTACATGATTTAATATAAATACAACTAGACATACCTTATAATTACAAAGAGAAATAAAAGTAGAAAATAATTTGGAGCTAAAATAACTTATTGCTTTTTGGGTAAAACAATAGTATAATTTTTATAAATAAAAGTCACTTTATGAAAAATTACCTAAGTACCTATATATTTTATTGCTGTATTAGGTAATATTTTATATCTGAAATTTTAAAATGAAATTTTACATGCAAATATTCCAGCAAAAATTTAATATATATGTATAAAATAGAAGAAATTACAAAAGTCTATAAATTAATTCTTTTACCTAGTCAAAAGTAGCGGTATCATACGGTGCCAGAATGAATAACGGTCCCTATAATTCAGCATCCAGTTTCCCACCTCTAAAGTGACTTGCAGACGGACTTGTGTGTTCTCATCAAATAATTTTTCAGCCATTGGTGTTATGGCAAGCTCAAAACACTTGGCATTTCCAGCTAAGACTATGGCACCTAAAGAAAATATGTAACTTTAAATATATTGGTAATAATAATAAGGAATGTTTTTAAGCCATGTAGATCTATACAAGAAAGATGAAAAAAAGGGGGCACCCTAAGAAGGGGTAAGATTATATCTGTTTTATCATCTATGTTTAGTGTCATGTTAAAGAGTTACACAGTCCAATAATTACCCTACACATAATACCATTAACACTAGGCTGTAATCTCGAGAGGAGTAATTATATTTATGGAAATTACCAATGGCTCGTATAGATGCCACCCGGACTCTGAAATGTTGGTGAGCATAATTAGAAAGAACAGGTTTGACATAACTCTCGGACTGAAAGTGAAAATCCCTCTGCAAGACCTTCGTTATGAGAATGATGCATTCACAAGCTTCTAATTTCACTTTAGGGTATGGATCAGTGCTTGTTTTGGTCAAGATGCTAGTAAAGTCATTGATAAATGAACTTAAAAGATGGGTTCCTTTATATTTGTCTATTATTGTATGGACCAATTCCATTAGTAGCAAACGAATCTCTTCTGATTCCTCCACGATCTCGGGGCATCCTATGCGACGAACAATAACCGGTAATATGTACGTGAGGTAGTAGTCGTTAAGCGGTAGCTTTTGTATAAAATTTGATATAATAGCTATGGCTTTGTCCCTACAAGCTTCCGACTCGTCCAAAAAGCTCTTTAAAATATATGCGTAGATATCAGGGAAGACTAGAGTGAGATCACAGTCGGTGTTTGCTGGGTTATCAAAAATTTCTTCGTTTATTTTCTGCAATGCATTTCTTCGTGACATTTTTGATTCACTTTGCAGTGCGGTTATGTATTGTTCTAAGGCACCTCGTGGGTTATCTTGTAATTTCGGCTTCAAATCCGCCATTGTCTGGTGACAAACAAGAACTTTTATAAGGGTCTAAAATTAGAGTATTTAACAACACAACCTTTTTATTGACCAAACAAGTTTGAAAAACGATTTATTTGGCTTTATTGATAAACAACCTCTGTTGCCATGGCGACGCTTGACTTTTCTAGATTTTACCACAGGTAATGATGACTTTAGCAGATAGAACAGTATTTTGCGAGGAACGGAACGCGTTCAATACTACACGTGCACCAATCATAGATTGCCAAGTAGCTGTCAACGTCTTCAATTTATATGAAAGCCCGAGATTAATCTTCAACCTCAATTTGATTTTAGTTTTTCTAAAATTCGCCTGCATTCTGTGATTTAACAAGTTAGTTTTTTGTTCAGACCAATTCAGAATGTATAAATACAGTGTGTTTTATTTATTATTTGCAGTAACAGTCCTGCAAAATGCTTTCGCATTAAAAGAAGGCGAATGCGAAGTTTGTATTAAAACTGTAGACAAATTTGCAGCCACGTTATCAGATAATGTAAAAAAGGACCCCAAGTTGATAGAAGCCGAATTCAAAAAGTTTTGTAAAGGATCGAAGAATAAAGAAAATCGGTTTTGCTACTATTTAGGTGGTCTAGAAGAATCCGCCACCGGCATTTTGGGTGAACTATCGAAACCCCTAAGTTGGTCTATGCCAAGTAATAAAATCTGTGAAAAGCTCAAGAAGAAAGATGCTCAAATCTGCGATCTGCGTTTCGAGAAGCAGATCGACTTGAACAACGTTGATTTAAAAAAATTAAAGGTCAGAGATCTTAAGAAGATTCTTAACGACTGGGACGAGAACTGTGAGGGTTGTATTGAAAAAACTGATTTCATCAAGAGAATAGAAGAGCTGAAACCTAAGTACATGGGAAGATCTGAATTGTAATAGTGAAATGACTTAGGTGAGTGAAGAAAATTCTTAATCACGGTTTTACTTTTAGCTTTGTTGAGACTGTGCATTAACAATTCTCATTGTTATAAAAGAGAATTGTGTCTTGAGAGCTTTGTTTATGAATCCCAATTTTAGTTTTATTGTTTGGTAAATGAGTAGTATCTACTTTAACATGAAATATCTCTTATATTCTCTGTATATGAAAATAAATAAGTCACCCATTGCTCTCCATTCTAGTATATAAGTTTAATTTGTAATAATTTTGTTTTGTGCAATAAAGAATATATGTATAAATAAGTGTAATTAATATCATAAATAAGTAATAATAAATATCAAGTTTAGAAACACATTTATTTTTTATTTTTATTGTGTTGTGTGGTATATAATATGATGCAATTTATTCTTTCTCTTTCTTTCAGATAAATAAACTCAAGGACTTGTGATACATCATCATAGACTTGTAGGAGTGTACTGAAGTGTTTTTATTTCATTTGTATGAAGTGTAGTGATGGATGCTGAAGGCTAACAATAAATTATTGTAATTAAGTAAATATTTTGTATGTACATCAATCTTTTATTATCCTTTTCTTTATCATTTGCTGCCGTATTATATACTCTTTTAATTGTGTAGAATAATCATAATTACCAAACATTCATTTAAATTGAATTAGAAAAATATTACTACATAACACACATTCTAAATGGTTAAAAACTGTTACAATTTTTTAACAATTTAGAAACTGGCTTTTATATGGTGAAATTTTTCCATAGTAAGATATTTTTGAGTAAGTATAGACTTATTTTGAGATTTGAAAAGATTTACTTGTAATAAACAGATAACAAAAAAAATGTACTCTGTTTTACACTATTTAATTTGAACAACACCTAATCCAGACAGCATACATAGCATGTTACATTATAAATAAAGAAAAGATGATTGTAGAATATTTAATTCTGCTGATATATTAGTGGTATTTGTAGTTCCTGTGGTGCTCTGAAAAAAGAAAACATTCAAGATTAGCCTCTATAGTAAATAAATCATATTATCATGAATTCTCTAATTTGATTCAACATCAAAATTTATGGTATAGTAAAAGTCATTATTTCAGAAATTAGATTGCCTAGAGACAAAGGGTAGTTTACTTACTGATCTTTCCGTAGTTGATTGCGTAGAAGAATGCCATGTTGGCTACCAGCAGCTGGAAGAATGGAGCCATTCCAACCCTCTTAGGCTGTACATACTTGTGCTGCCACCTCCACCATGCTGATAATGTAATTATTTATGTACAATAACATTTTCACTACATATTTTATAATACTGGCTATAGTTTAAGCAAGTAGTACGCATTTAAATAAAACACTTGAACGGTTTAAAATGCGATATATTAGTTAAACTTATTTGAAAATGATTTTTAAGTTTGGCCCGACTTTTCGGATACTTTGCACCAGCCATGGTCAAGCCATCATTTTCAAATTAGTATAACTAATATATCACGATTTAAAATGTTAAAGTGTTTTATTTAAATACATATTTTTTCTGATAATTTGAATTTAATTATAATAGTACAAGATCAGAATTATAGTAAATGAGGGTATTTATTCTCTCTTATATTCATAACTTATTAATGACAGAAAAAATAATGATAGCTTCATAGAGATCCTTTTATATTATAAGTTGTGCTTAGGAGACTACATAGAGAGAGAATACCATATCTCTTAAAATTAAGCATTTATCTTAACCTCTGGACTCTCATACTTTGTGTGAGACTATTTAAAAAAAATATATATACTAAAATGTAGGTATATTATTTTTTATTGTGACTGTTTTTTTTATATTATTTTAATAAAATTGACAGTACTTCCAAAATTTAGGTTACTTTAATAGGTATTAAATAAGAAAATTACCACGGCTGACAGCCCCCATAAAAGCAGAAGGAGTCTTGTTGCGGCGTGCCAACCATGATCCGATTTCACTTATCTTCACCTGACCGAAAGGAGTGTCGGCTAAAAACAAGAAATAAAATTACATAATCGCATACAACTAACCCCAAGGATTCCTCCACTGATCAAATACTTACGTTTGCCATAAAAGCGAGCTGGATCGTAAGGCCCATGAACCGAAGGATTATATTCCTTGGGATAATCTCCGAACGCCATATTTTTCTTAAAGATCAAGACCTGACGGAGAAAACTAAATAGATTTTCTCGTGAAATACGAAATATGATTTCGCCCGTCTCCGAAACGGATGTCAAACGATGACATTGACGTTGAAATTTGAAAGTACTAAATCAGATTATAAATCATATTCATATTCTCTTTAAAATAATCGGAAACAAATAATTACAAATATATTTTATTTTAGTACCTGCTAATATTCTTCTTCTTACTTATAATTGTTACACATACATACATTTACGAAATATGTCTATCACATCTGTTGTATATACTTGTATCATTCAGTAACAAATTATCTGTATCATTAGACAGCAAAATTGTTGTTCTGACATTAATTGTCAATACACATTGGAAAAGGAATCTTTGTGTAATTTCGTACGATATTTGAACAAGAAACAATAATTCTCTGATCTAATTAATAAATTACAAAAGCAAAATGGTTTTGGAGAGTACTATGATATGTGTGGATAATAGTGACTACATGAGAAATGGAGACTTCTTGCCAACCAGACTGCAAGCGCAACAAGATGCCGTAAACCTGGTTTGTCATTCGAAGACACGTTCAAATCCAGAGAATAACGTTGGATTATTGACTCTAGCAAATGTTGAAGTACTTGCGACTTTAACCAGCGATGTCGGTCGTATACTTTCCAAGTTGCACCGCGTCCAACCGAATGGAAACATCAACATTTTGACTGGTATCAGAATCGCTCATTTGGCCCTTAAACATCGCCAAGGTAAGAATCACAAGATGCGCATTGTAGTATTCGTCGGTTCACCAGTTAGTACAGATGAGAAAGAGCTCGTGAAGCTGGCCAAAAGACTAAAAAAGGAGAAAGTCAATTGTGACGTCATTTCTTTTGGTGAGGATTCTGAAAATAATCCTTTGTTGACCACCTTTGTTAGCACCCTCAATGGTAAGGATAATACCTCTGGTGGTAGTCACCTAGTCTCTGTTCCAGCTGGTGGTTGTGTAGTGTTGTCTGAGGCTTTAATCTCTAGCCCGATAATAGGGGGAGACGGTGCTGGACCATCTGGTTCTGGGTTGTCACCATTTGAGTTTGGTGTAGATCCGAACGAAGACCCAGAATTGGCTTTAGCTCTTAGAGTATCAATGGAAGAACAAAGACAGCGCCAAGAGGAGGAGTCCAGGAGACAACAAGCCTCATCGGAAGGAGAATCTGGCAAGACTGGAGAAACTCAGGGTGCTGGTATGCCAATGTCTTTAGGCAGAGAAGCTATGGAGTTATCTGAGGAAGACCAGATTGCTCTAGCAATGCAGATGAGCATGCAGCAGGAGGCTCCTCAAGCAGAAGAGAGCATGGATGTACCTGAAGAATATGCTGAAGTCATGAATGATCCAGCATTTTTACAGAGTGTCCTCGAGAATCTACCGGGTGTAGATCCACAGAGTGAAGCCATTAGAAATGCAATGTCTACCATAAAGAAAGACAAGGATGACAAAGACGAAAAGGACCAAAAGGATAAGGAGGGTAAAGGTTCCAGCTCCAAGGAGAATAATTGAGAAGCATTTCAATTTTTTTTTTATTTGATTGTGCTCGTAAACTCTTTAACAATTTAATGATAAATATATACAATAGTTCACAGTTTGTTCATTTCCAGGATATCCAATTAAGGCCCTCTATTTTATTGTATCCTGTAAGAATACTTTGGCTTAGTTAAAATAAAGATCTATACAACAGTATTTATTCTTTGTATGCATACTTGCATCATCCCAGAATTGTTTTGATTTGAATTTATTCTTGGTTTGCAGTAGCAAGACCTTTCTGTGTTCCTCATTTAGTGGCTGTGGTTTTGGTATAGAAGTGACAATAGTATCTGAATGGAAATAGAAATATGAGATTACAATCAGCTACAGCTATAAATACTAAAAATCACCATAATTGTTGCTAATAATAAGATTTTCTTGACACTTGACACATTTATTGTACAATTGGTTCATTACCAAATTACTTTTATTTATATCATTACTTAGTAAATATTTATTACTTCTTATTACCAAATTTATAAAATTATGTATTTGTTAATTTTGCTAGCAATCAATAAAGGAAGAACGCAATTAAAATTTTTAATAGTGTCAATTTCTATTACCTTATATCAAATGAGGGCCAGTGTTATCAATTAGGATTTGTTTGACGATTAGTCAGTCTGCACGAAAACGTATGGCTCTCTAACTATGACCCCTCATTCGCTAAAATAATAGAAACTTCGATATAATTGTATCAAATGGCGATACCATAGTGTAACTATTATATAGAGGCCCATCGTGGTCCCCCAGATGAGGCATCGATGACGTCAGGAGGCGCGGGGGCCCCGTGAACTCTTCTAAGAGCTGCAGATAGTGATCTGTACTCGAGCTGAGGTACCGCGCGTCTTAACAAAAAATCAAAATAAGACGTCTAGGTGTAATAGTTAAACTGTGGCAGTACCACGTTAAAAGAGAATTATAGTCGGATTCAACATATTGATACTGGCAACTTACTATTCGGTTTGGAGTTTTTTATATTGCGATCTATGTTTTTCATAGTTAGCACGAGATGTGAACTCTTTATATCTTCAAGTTGAGGTTTGAAGCTCTTGCTGCTGTAGTTTGTAACTGAAATTTAATAAATATTAATCCCCGTTTTCTTAAGTAGGCTACAAAACAATTAAGATAGAGAAGAGAAATGACACAGGCAAAAGGTGACCTCATAATTACGAGTTTTGCGCCGATTAATTACTATATCTTCTGTCCGAGTTTAAACTATATTTCCTACGTGGAATGGCAGGCTAATTTCCTTAGTTTTATATGTATAATATAAACTACAAGCTGTGCCCGTGACTTCGTTTGCGTGGAATAGTGACTTGGGGTAGAATTTTTAATTATTTAGGCTGTTTATTAATTTATGTAAATCCGCTATTAAGGCAGCCAATCTATGTTGTAAGTGCTACTTTGCCGCAACACTCTCACCTCACATCACTCCCACTCTCATTCCTATTCCCAAAGAGCCAAAGAAGAAAATTTCATTGTTCTAGCTTCAAAAACCACGAATTTCCATACAAACTTTCATCCCCTTTTATAACCCCTATCAACCCTTGTTAAAAAGTAAAGCCCTTGTCCCTTCTCAGGATCTAAAGTATCTGTGTACCAAATTTCATTTTAATCAGATCAGTAGTTTCGGAGTTAAAGCCGGACAGACAGACAGTTACTTTCGCGTTTATCATATTAGTATAGAGAACTCACAATGAGACTTTATATTGAAAGCGGGTTTTATATTTTTCGAAGCCTTATTCCTCTGATTAATAAACGACTCGCGAGAGGAAGAATTCGATTTGATTACATCTGTAAAGGTATCATTAAATTAACTTAGCAGACGTGTTATATGTAAGGTCTTATTTGAAAACAACACGAATTAAAGTACCTTGTGCAGGTTTAATTTTTTCCCTATTTGGCATAGTTCTGGTTACTGCGAGTCTTTGAAGATCTTTGCCTGTAGGTGTCTTTTGGTTTGGTGAATTTGTTCCTGCAGGTAATGTAGATTTTTTTTAGATCACGCTGTATAAGTGAAACAACAGTAGCTACATATTAGTAGTACCTGTAATGCGAGGACAGTTTATTGTATTTGGATTTTGGCATGTATAACTCCTTGTTCCTGAAAGTTTCCGTATAAGAAGAGGGTGTCAAACATTTAGATACACAATTTTAAAAACTAAACCAAACAATACGATACAACTAGAAGCAAATGATACTCACGTTTTGGAGTTTTATTATATTTAGAAGTATTAATTGGTTTAACGGGCAACGAACCAGTTTTTAAGCCAGGTGAAGGTGATCTTACAGCTGTACAAGAAAAATAAACATTTAAGATTCATTAAAGCAAGCAGGCTTTGGAAAAATAGGTCAGAAGCGATCTACTATATTTCGCCACTTGGGAAATAAGACAGATATTCTGTTAATCAATTATTAATAGTTTAATATTCACTAAAAACCTAAACGGTTTAAAACAAACAATACTTATTCTAATTGCAATTAAACTGTACCTGTATTAAAAGCAATGATAGGTATATTTCTACCCTCCATCCTCGAGTTTGGCCCGGAAGAGCCACGAGGCTTCTCCCTCGAGGCCGTTGTCTTATTGGCTGTCCAAAACAAATAACTAACTGCGATTATTGTTATCAGAAACTGCCATTGCAAGTGCGAAAGACATGTTACGATGTGGTGTAACCTCCATAGTATAATATGAGCGGAAATGCTGATTATTATGTCTATTACTGAAATATAATTTTTTAGAATAATCTTTAATGATGACAACAGAGGTTATTCAATTAAATTAAAATTAAAAACTGAAAATTACTATTTTTTTAGGTTTAATTTAAGAAACAAAATCACTCACGTAAAACACTTATATTGCTCAAATCACGGGGCGTCGAAGTTTTTGGTGTTGGTCTATTCTCCGCTTGAAAAAATATTAATAGAGACGTTATCGACCACATCGACACGGATATATCTGGCTCAAAGGACCACTCAAATAATACTAATTAATTCATACACTTTTACGAATGTCAGGATGAATCAATGGTATAGCGCGTATTATGTGTTTTGTTTGTTTGGCCATTTGATTATTATAGACGATAGAGATAGAAATATGGGAAAAAGTAGACTATTTTATAGCTACATTTTTTCGCTTTCATGTCAGCTTCGAAACCATTGCACCTTACCTTTCCACGATGATATTGGCGACCGAGAACGGTACACAGTTTTGGCTGTAGTCTTATTGCCTGGAACTAAACAATTATAATGGATATATATCAAATGTTACGCAGACGTAACTATTAGTAATATAGTATCTATTATTATCTGCCTACCTATGGAAGAGACGGGACGAACATTTCGCTTAATCATGAGCCTTTTGTTCATAGGAGTGACGAGAGGTTTCCCATAACCACTAGACGATTCTGTAAAAACATATTAAGTATAATAATATTTAGAGGATCAAGCAAGCAGGTACAGTTTATGTATGAGTTGATTGAGAGTAAATTGATGAAAAACTACCATATGAGCACCGTAGTTCTGTATTCCCATTTATATAAAGCCACCATCGTCTGAAGTATAAATCAAATATTTCAGTATTCTCAAATATATAATTAAACACTAACCTCCATCTGATAATATAATAGTGTCTTCGCTAGTGTCGTGTCTAACAGTTTTGTCCTGTTTGACCTCGGGCAATAGCACATCGGCAGTTTTCGTAGAACTATGGCCGGGGCATCCTAAGCTTTTAGAACGCCCTGACAGAGAGAAAGAGAAAGAACTTACAAATGAAAAGGACAAAAAATCTGCCACAAAACAATTTTTTTTATAGTTTTGTCTGTAATGTAGTAGTTGTATGCAACGATGTCAAATCAACAATTAATATTTGTTGTCTTTGTCCTATGTCTAAAATGAATATAGAAGTTAGAAAGAGACGTATTTAGTCATTACGTTATATAAGACTTATTTCTGCAATATTATTATTAAATATTATACAATTTGTCTACTCACCGTTAACGTCTCGTCCAGAAACAGGTTTCGGATCAACTTTAGTCTTCTCAACACACCTCTTCGGAATTTTCGACGGCGCGCTTGTAGACCTATCTGTAGAATACAGAAAATGGCATAAAAGAAGTTATGTTTATATAATAGAACTTATTTTTAACTATGTGGACACTACCTACTAGGATCGCTCGCCATCTTTAGTCCCCCCGTCACCATGGCTCTTCTAAAAGCATTCGATAGGTATGTCGAATAATATTTTGCGTTTTGAACGAACGTATTTAACATATATTCTAATATTTATATATTATTATTGTAAGTTCTTACAAGAAATGCTGCTTCTTTTCCTCTCTGGCGACTGCGCAGAGCTGCCACTCTTAGGCGTGCCTTTGAAACATATATTGTATAATGTGGAGGGTCTAATTATCTTACGGCAAAAAATGATATTCAAATTAATGAATTCTTTTTAAATTTTAAATTCATTATTGTCTTTAATTGCTGGCTGCTCGCCATGAGTTCATGCTTTGCCCGAGTGGCCTCTATTTCTAATAAATCTGTGCATACCCGCTCTAAATTTTCATCAAAATAATATCATCAATACATACTGGATAGCTTCGGTGGCACTCGACGTGGTGGAGAGCAGGACTTACTTCGTGACGAATTACTCGTATCGCTTAATGCTGCGAACTTGCTTTCTCTTCTAAGTCCTGAGTAGAAAAGTTAGTAATCTACAATATGTATTATTAAACACTAATTTATTGACGGTAATAGTTCTTGAAAGATAAGAAAATAATTTATAAACTTTTTTATTAGTAGGATAATAAGGAAATATTTTACAGTGCAAGAAAACTCAAATAAAAAGGCAACAGATGGCGTTTGACAGTAAATCCCAGAAATATATTTTTTTTATTTTTACGTAACCTAACTACACATTAGTACATTATTCCTTACGAGATGCGTGACTCTCCCTATATCTCGCTTTCTCTTCAGAGGGCGAATCGTGAGCTAGGCTTTTACTTGATGTTCCTGAAAGTATAAGACATGCTCTAACATATAAACATTAAATAGGGATAAGATTGCGCTTGTTATCATGGCTACTTAAATGGGAGGTGAAATTGATGTGACACATATGCGCAAGAGTCTATCTTCATAGTGTTAGGTCGTAGCATGTTTATCAAATTTTGATATATGTATAGCTCAAATCTACCGAAACATACGTTTACTTTGCGTACAAAAATAAAACAACAATATAAATACTCACTAGTATTTTATTAAGCATATAAATAACAATTCTTACTTCTTCTTTACAATCAACTCTTTACGTTCCAAATACAACTCAACAAAAGCAACGCTAATTTCCAAAACATTTAAGGCACTAAATACATGTTAGTAGTTAACTACCGCTATCTTTATCTGTTACCATTTCGTTATCTATATTTTGTCCATTGTCAGTAGCTTGGATATTATCTATGGCGTTTGTATTATCTTCTTTATTACAATCTTGTTTATCGCTAGTCACAGAATCTGTATCAGTGTTTTGACTAATGCCTGTGGAATGTGTGGAGAAGTTCCGCACTTTACCGGAAGTAGGTATAGTTCCGTGTGATGTTTTGCGTATTTCCTTTTGCCGAGCTCTGTGCGCCGCTTTGAGTTCTAATTCGACGCAGTGTTCGGCAAACATCAGCTGTAGCGGGGCGTACATGTGTGGGAGTAAATCTAGGTCACTCATCGTTATCTGAAAATCAGATCATCAACCATAAGATTAATCAAAAGAAATATTATGATTCAACGGACACAGTCAAAATCCACGATGGTGGTTTTACAATATGTAAATAAACATGGTACTTAAATTTCCAATACATTAAATAATATAAAAAACTAGAAAGATACAAAATACTTTACACAAAAAAGGTTAAAGACTTTAAATTAGCCAACTAGGAAATATTCGAATATCCAAAGTCAAAAATATCAACAGCGAATCTTGTTTAGATGTTATATGGCTGGGGTATTCGAACTCCCATCAAGTAAACCATGCTTGTCTCATGTCTGCCCTCCTCTATATCAAAAAGTCTAGTAACATAGACACAACTGTAAATAAAGTTACGAATTCAATAGAAGCAAATTGGCTACCACGCCATCTCTTGAATAAAACTTATAACATACCTGCATATTATCAAAAGCTATGCCCACACTCTTATTATCGTTTAATATATGCGCGTTGAGCCTCGGCAAGCGCGCATACCGCTGACTAAAATGAGTCAGTACTGTGTATCTTGCATTCATCTTCCTTCCCATATCAATCGCTTGTGATGTAGTGGAATGCATTTTGGTCCTCGCCTCGCTGGCCAGTTCATCCTCCATGGTCGCTTCGTGGATTAAGAGTGTCGAGTTTATTCCTTTAAACAAACGTCATGTATTCATATATATGTAGGTAGACTTCACTTCATGAGATGTGTAAATGTAATGTACAATATAAATTTAGTATTTCTACCGCATCGTCTGTAAAGGTAGAATAAAATAATTACGCTTGTAAAGCTTAACTGGTGCCAACTTCATCGTCAAATAATGTGGTTTGACTTTCGACCTGCCTTTGTATAGTACAATTTACTACAACTGATTAATGTCTCACTGCTGGGCAAAAAATTTTAATAATTCTTAGATGGACAAAGTGACGACACCTCTTACTTCGTACACATTTTCAAAAAAATTCTAAATACTAAAGTTTAACCTAAATACTATCTGTGGTTTACGCGAGTAGTATACATTTAAATTAACACTTATTTTTACTACTTACAGCCCTGGGCACGGGGAGAAAACAAATTGAGGGTGTCTCTAAGGTCAAATTAAAAACTGCTATGCCATCTGGTCCGTATTCATAAAATTTACGGACCATTAAAGTTTTTTGTATAAATATTTAACCTACCTAAGATTCGACCCTGTGACGTGATCTCCAGTCAAGTGCACTAATTACAACACCAATCGGGCAGTCAGATATAAATCAAGATCAAGATATCATCCTATGCAATGTGACTCATTTCTTGTAATATAAATAATATTTGAACGGTCTCAAAAAATTCATACCAATCTTTGCCAGCTCATCGCAAGGTATAGTATCGCCTGAATAAGTGACCTTATGGGACCCGTCTACTTGCACAGCTATACCAAAGGCGTTGGGACAATGCGCCACTTGGCACGCGACTATCTTCTCCACTCCCATGCTGGCGAGAACCGCTGACGTCAGATCTGTGTTAGAAGGATCCGCGAGTTTCGATTCCAGCTGAAAAAAGGGAATTTTCCAATATAGTACACACCATCAATGTTGTTGAAATCACTTTCAGCAAGTGATTTCTGTAGTAACACACACACACACACACAGTAAATAGACATAAATCTGTGTTGTATAAATATTTTCACAGCAGCATTATATTTAAACTATTTTTATTAGTAATTTAAACGAAAGGGCTGTTAAATTGCAAAATGTATATAAGAAAGAAGCAATGAAAAATTACAGAAGATGCAATGGTCAATAAATTATAATAATTTTATAATGCCACAGCTTATATTATTGCTAAAGTAGTTTTGTCTCTCTTTCTCCAGTACATAACCAATTCGCTAGAAAAAGACAAAAGTTTTAGTAATTACGGTAATTAATTCTTTGCAAGCTAAACTTACCAAATTCTGATTAGGTATAAGTGTAAATTCATTTCGAATGCACTCAAATTGCTGATCGTACTTTGCAAGCCAAGTCACTATTTGACCTGGAGCCAGCAAGTACAGGGGCAATGCAGTGCCATCATTCTGTATTTCTTCTAAGGCCTCCTTTCGAGCTTGCAAAACGCCTATTAATCCTGAAACAAGAACATTTCAACTTGAAAACTTTAATTTCACATTTTGCACATGAAGACACTATATATGTCTTTTTAAATAACATTATAACTTGTTTAAAGGCGGAATCGAGTAGTATAAAAACGGTTTTTATATTTAATAATTTATTTTAACACACATTTGTGTAAACTATAGCCAATAAACAACATAAGTCGCAATAATTAATGACAATTATAAATGATATTTTTAAATAACCTAATATTATAATACAAAACCCACAGAGGCCTTTATTCAGTTTCAGGTGCAAACAAACATGCAGAAGTACAAAAGGAGTTTGACTTATAGCACGTTGGACATTTTCAAGCTTTTCAATTTTAGCTTTTCATCGCATTGGAGGGATTCAAAGTTAGCAGAAAATCTTACCTATATGATGATCAGCATGCAAATGAGACACATATATAGCCTTTAGAGATCTAAGGAAGACATTCACTCGCTTCGGACCATAGAATCTCACCAGTTGATTGAATGTACCTTCGCCGCAATCTAACAGCATCGAACGGTTTTCACTGAAAACAACTTAAATTTTAAAGACAACTCTTAAAATAAACATAACTTGACGTTAAAAAAAGTATGAAAAAATCTATGGAACAAGTTTAAGAAGCAATCAAGATTTTCAATGCACTAACAAACTTTTTAAGTAATTTAAAGTGTTAGTTAAGATTAGTTTTTTATTTTATTTAAACGTCACTTTAAGAAATAAAAAATTAAATAAAACACTTCAACGGTTTAAAACGCGATATATTAGTTAAACTTATTTGAAAATTATTTTTAACTTCGGCCCGATGTTTCGGATGCTTTGTTTTAAATGTGTACTACTCGCGTAAACTATAAACAGTATTTAAATAAAAAATTGTGTAATTTTATTTTATTTGACAATTCGCGTAAGTCTACTTACTCAATCTGAAGCACAATTCCACTAGTGTTCCTTGTCTTGCTGGGTATACAAGACCCCGTACCAAGGAATACCACCTTTGGGTACTCCCTGGCATCACTCTTGCTGTAGCGCATTGTGTCCACGAGACGCCGAAATTGCTCCAGGCTAGGAACGAATCCATCCACATCCATCGTCTCTTGGATGTAGTCCTGGATGTGAAGCTTGGGTTCTGCTGACCTATATGTAAATGAAGTTAATCTATATTCCACCATAAGATTGTGAATAAATACTAGTATTAAAAAGATGAAGAGTTTGAATTGAAAAATTATTTTTTGAGAAAGGCTTATAAAGGCTTTAATATATAAATATATTTAAGGTTAAACATCAGGCTGCAACCAAATCATCTAAATATTTAATATGGCAAAAGTTGTACCAGGCTTAAACCTGATTAATGAAACATTGTGTGTGTCGAAATTATGTTAAATATTTTTACTTAGATACATTACGATCAAGCTTAAAATAGCCCATATTGCAATGGGCAAATTTGATTCAATAAATTGCTGTTATTTCAATGCCTATGCATCGATAATACAGGTTATAATATCAAAGTCTTACCTATCTAATTCCCTCTTAGGCCGCAAGTGGAACATTGTGAGGGTCTTAGCGGCCATCCAGTTGAGCCGTGCCGCTTCTGGAGACGGCTCACCCTCCCCTTGCTCCGCCCCAGAGCCCTCCATATTAATTATAGTCTGGAACTGCGCCACGGCAATCTACAAATTATTATCCATGCTAGACCAGCTACACCGCCACCATAGCATGCACACCAAGCTACAATAAAATCTAAAGTTCTGTATATCTATATAGAAACAGATAGACCACTGCCTAGTGCTTAAATAATATCTATTAACAGTTTGATGAACCGTAAACCTAATAATCTGTAAGGTAGTGCCTAAAATGTTTTTAATTAAAGCATGTTTCTTAAGTATAGACCCATCTCAGTTCTTACTAAAGGCTTATTTTACATTTTCACCTTATTTTTTAATTCTTCCAATCCTTTAAGTCGTACGGGGCTGCTGGTTTTTGGTAATGGTGGGTGAGCATTCCACACAGCTGGGACACTTAAATCCTTCAACAGAGGAAATATATCTGGATCCAGAAGGTGAAGCATATGCTGGGTTTTATGGACTGCTTCAGATCCGAGGCAAGAGTTTTGACCATTGAGAATGAGATGTTGGGTTGTGGGTCCAAACATAGACATGAAAGATTGGTACCTATAAAACAGATATTGATCAAATTTAACCTAAATATATAGTGTCTTCAAATCCAGCCTTGTTATATCTTGAAAGCTACACCCAAAAACAGACTCAGGAGTGCTTACGTAGGATGGTGAAAGACATGTGGTGGAGTATAATGGACAATGACAATCGGTATGTTCTCGCTTGGATTGGAGCCATTGTCAAAATGAGCTGCAAACTCATCCTCCTTCAGCCATTTGATGTCTGGTAATTCTAATACTGTAATTATAAGCATGATACATTTTAATTGTATTGCCTAGGTAGATAAAAATGTGTTGGCATGAAACACGTCGATTTTTATTATATATTCAAGTGACCAGATGTGGCATCATATGGAAACGTGTTCGAAGTTATTACTTATAAGCAGGCAACATGTGTGGCGTTTTTAAGAGGCACTAGATATTGCATTGTTTTCTTTGTAATGTAAGTGCTCATGTCAAAAATAAGTTTAAATATTTCTTTTTATCTATTATTCCATAATCAAATCTCTGTTATGACCTGTGTAAAAAACCTCTGTAAAAAAAAAATTACCAATAAATACAGGTCCTGGGTCATCTGGGGTCTTCACATCCTTGGATAAAACGAGGGTCCCATTTGGGAGTACAACATCGTGTCCATTTTTTAGCTGCCCTAACATTGGACCAGGTTTAACACCTAACTCCACACATTTTTCTAAATCGAGAGTACCTAGACGTTTCTGAAAATTTGTTTTGTAACTATTGAGTAAACTTAAAGCTTAAATCATAATACTACTCCCACTCGTACTACTTATCAAAATGTAATATTTTATTGCATAAAATGCATTAAATATTGTACCGGCATATCTGTTACACATTTAAAAAACAAAAATCCACATAATTAAGAGCAAAGTTTACCTTCAATGTACAAATATATGCCACACTGTAGTTATTGGGTTTCAGTGAATTGTGCAGTACCTTGTCCGTTCTCTTCTTTTCTTTTGGTAGTGGATCTAGATTAAAAGAGTTACTTTTTTAAGTTAACTTAATGTAAATAAAAAATAAAACAATTTTTTTTTATAATTGTAGTTATTACACACATACATAGTTACAAATTTAATGCATGTGTACAATTTTTATTAATTATAATTATAAGTAGCGGCACGGATCTTTAGCGCTGAACGAATCCTGCGCAGAAGTAAAAAATTAAGTCTCGAAGGGACGGAAGCGGACGCGGGGCGAGTGAACGTCATATGCGCTAGCGTTGATTGGTTCCCCTGTCGTGTTGTCTTTCTCGGACCAATACGACGCTCCGGTTGCTTCTCGAGTACAGTCACGTTTTCCAATCAATTACGTGCGCGATTGTACCGATGCGCAACTATTCCCTCTACATTTTGTTCAGCGCTAAACATCCGTGCCGCCACTATGACATAAATATAAATAGTTAAGTTACCTTTATCAATGTTCACTTTGGATCTGTTTTTACTTTTGTTTTTATCTGTCTCGCGAGTATAATAATCTGTGTCGTCGTGAATGAACTCTTCAAATTCCTGGTCATGCTCATCTGGCGGTGTCTCTAGCTTGGGTTTCTTAGCTACTGGTTTTAGTTCAGATGGTAATAGGTGCTGCTGAGGACCACTATAAGGAGCGAATTTATTAAATGATTACAGAAACTTGTCACCATATCTAAACAACATATAACACTGAATCTATGTCTACTGTCTGACATTTATCAAGTTGTATCACCAGAACTAAAATAGCTACAAAGTTGAAATTTACACAAAATGTGTATCTATGTTGCTGCATATTATAATTAACACACTCAGTATAATATTTATTTAAGGGGGATTTATAAACACTTTTTTAAAATCCTTTGCTTTGCTCCTTTCGCTAACTAACACGGACTCAGGCTAAAATGAGTATCTAATTTAGGTTTGTGGTCATATTGCTGTAATAGTTATTAAATTAATTAGTGAATTTCATGTTCCTTCAAGACCATTGCTTCTGTTGGTCTAAATCCAGAACCACTTGTGCTTAAGACAAGGCAATACAAAGGTAAATTACCTGTGTATTACTTTGTTGCATCAGAAATTCATCATTAATGCTTACGATAGGTTCAATGAAATAAAACTTACAGTATAACATATTTGACTGATAGAACATTATCTTCAAAGTCTTCACTGGGGTCACATTTAGCCATTGTGACATTCAAGTCCTTCATTATTACAAATCTTTTTGTCGCGTTGTATAATTCATCCTGTAAGTAAAGAAACAAAAAAAATATTGCTTATGCTGGGTAAGAAAGATAAAATAAAATTTTAAGATTTTAATAAACGAATTTATTAACATTGGTAATAAATGCACATAAAGCTCTATATAATAATTAAACTTACCAATCCCTCTGGTCCATGTAATGTGATATTTGGAATACCAACATCTTGTAATGTAAGAGAAAGACCGGGTAGACCACCTAAATTCTTCCATGTCTTGCTTGTGATAAAAATGTGGTCCAATTTAGATAATTTAACTTTGTGCTCATGAGCAAGGCGTTGAGTGCATTCACCACAGTTAAACATATACCTGTTAACAGTTAACAAGGATTCTAATTAGACTTAGACTTTTTTTCAAGTTTACTATAGATAATAAACTGATTGATGCTAATGTAGCAGTTCAAAATAGTATACAGAATAATCTAGCAGTCACTTAATTGAAATAAATATAGTAATAAAATGGGTGGGAAACAATTAACTATAATGCAGTTCATCAACAAACTTTTTATAAAACTCTACTTAATGATGAATGAGATTCTTACCGTTTCTGATCTGTGAAGAGATATAAAGTATTAGGTGCCCCTCGGGCTCCAGAACCCAAAACCTGGAGATAAATAGTGCTGGAGCCATACTTTTCACTTTTTTTGGAATTTTTTTGACGCTGTCGCTGGACTTCAGCTATTCTTGCTGTATTTGATTTAGGCATATCGGCTAGAATATCCAACAGCCGACTATTACTTTTTGTTGAATAATAAGACTTATTAAGAAATCTACATCTAACTACGTTTGTAAATAAACAGAGTTTACCGCACATGTGTTAAGAGGTTAGTAAGAACTATTTTAATCCAAAGTATACGAGCATTTCACTAAAGGAAATATCGTCAAAATATCGGCGGTCGGCTATTGCACATAATTTTATTTGTCTTATTTAGATGAATTTTTTGATGTTATTAGTACATTGGCAGATTTTTAGATTTAGAACGCTTTTTAATTGTGTAAAAAAATTTTTTGTAAATGTCATATGTTTTCTTTGACGTTGAGTGATAACTGACAGCTGTGTTTTTAAATAAGACTAAGTTATTTTTGTTATTTTTATTTCTAGTAACTCATGTTATTTTCTACGAAATAATGATCTTTTAAAAATTATTTGTATTGTATTTTTTTAAAACAAATTGATACTGTATCAAAGAACATTGCTATATGTAAATTGAAATATAACTCTGATACATTCTTACGGAAGGCAACACTAAAATTGAAAAATGGCGTTCTGTACAGCTGTGGATTTGGATTGCGCAATTTTTATGTAAATGTTCGTGTAAAATTTAATTATCGACAAAATAAACTTGAAACAAATAATAACGAAGTCGCATAATGTTATATCTCTATCACTTAAACAGTCAATATTGTGTAGTGCTCTAGTAATTTTCGTTTATGTTTCACTGTCATGGACCGTCGTCAATTTTTTGTGTTGTGGTGATGTATTGAAGTATTTTATAATGAAACGAAAAATAATACGGCTATGCAAATAATGAAAAAATAATGGCTGTGTTATGGGTGGTTTTATTTTTGGCCTCAGTGCGGTTAAGTGCTGTTACCGGTCTTCCTATTGGGGCAACGCCGCAGGCCTACCCTCATGGTAAGGAGTTATTCAAGTTCATTAGGTTTTTAATGACTTTAACAATAAATATTTTGGTATATAAAAGCTTTTCTCATGTACAAACTGGCTCTTGTCAAAGCTTTTTTAGAAATTATTAGAATACTACCTAAATCTCTTTTATTTTACTCCCTGAAATAATTATAATCGTGTGTTATTTGTTAATTTAGAATTTTTGTAATCTATAATAAATGTTGTGTTAAAAATTAGAGAAGAATAAAATATTAAATATCTACAACAAACATATTTTATTAAGCTTTTTTAGTTTTTTTAAAGAGCCTAAATATATATGTAGGTAGATTTAACTTGATGTGTTTGCAAAATGGTCTATTTAAAAATCATTAAATTATTAGGTTTTGCAAAATATTTATTTTAATTATTGATGACTACACTTAGTATTTATATTTTATAGATTTCTAGTAAGAAGTATTTGTTTTGTTGTAATAGATATAAAGTGATTAACATTTTTAAACTTTATTTAATGCAATGAATTGGTTCAATTTTATAGCATTACCTGAACACATGTAAAAATACGCTTATATCTACAACAAGATCTAGAAGTGTAATTATAAACAATGTTTGTAAAACACATTGTTAATAATATTGTTAGTGCTAGTTTTATATATACTTAATTAATAATTTAATAATTTTTGTTTTAAAGTGTATTTAAATTCGCTTATCACTTAAAATAATAGAAACCACTGAGGGTGTATTAAATTAAAATGTATATTTAAGACACGCGATTTTTATTTCTTTACATAAGGACACTTACAAAACTTTACGCTTTCACCTTATTATATAGTTTTGCTTACCTATATCAAGAATTATCTTTACAGAGTCAGATGGGCAAGAATATTGGGGTTGGGGCTCGGAGGGTAGCCTGTACATGCTGCCAGCGCTGGCGTTGGTATTGACAGCTGTTGGATTGCTTTTTGGTTGCACATGGTGTTACCAGCATAAAGATTGTAAAGTAAGTAGATGTTTTTATAAACTAAAACTTGTTAAGGAACTAGTAAAATTCCTTTAAAATTTATTCTGTAGATATTAATATTATTGATATTGGTGATGTTAGTTCTGAAAATAGCATGTTTCCATATAAAATATTTTTTTATTTAATAAGTATAACATGTTTATTATAAAGTAAGGACATAATATCTTACAGTAGTTTGCTTTTTAATATTAAAAAAAAGCCTTGTATTGTCTGTACAAAAATAACAATAGCGTCTATTGAAACATGTTCACATGATTAAGAGTTTATATTTTTAAGATTAATATTTACTGCCTCAGGGTAATAAACCTTCTTTGTTAATATTTGTATTTTTATCTGACTATAAACTCAAAATATATTTTAATTATAACACTTTTGTTGGCTAAGAATCAGTATGAAATCCACAGGGCGATAAAGAATGCACCATATTTTATTTTTTCTATGTTATGTACTAAATTTATACAGTAGTGTAGATTAAAAATATTATATTAGCGTATGTAGGAAAAGTAGTTTTTGTTATCATAGAAGAGGACACCCCCATGCTTATTTTGGTTCACTTGATTGTAGGTAAAATACCCCAGACATATATACAATCTAAACAATATGTATGTCGACCTATATTTTGGCTTTGGATATTCTGAAATCCACACCGTCGGCTCTTTCGTGACCCGGATGGAATTTCGATGCTCCTACCACCCATTTGATATTTCCAGACGGAGTCCAACATGTTTCAGAAAAATTATAATTGTTTAGTAAAATGTGAAACCAAGCGGGGATAGAACCCTCGACCCGTTAATTTTGAGCCATACATTACCTCCATTACACCAACGAGCTTCCTTTGAGTCCTATTCAACTTCGGATTTGTATTTGAAGTTGTTCGTCGACCTAATACTAAGAACTGTATTCCGCGCTGACTGTTTTAGTTTGAAGCGAGCCAGTGCACATGAAATATGCAGAATCTAGACGGACGGTGCATAATCTCTAGGTTTTGAGCTAAGTTCGTGTATCTAATCAGCGGACGGGTGAGGTCATTGCCCCCGCGCGTGCTTATTATCATAACTGCGTAGTGTAAAAAAAGTGATTCACTTATCAACACTACGCTGCGTTCATTAAGAATACGCCGTGTTTGTGAATCAACTTCATTGTCTGTTCGCGATTGATTATTTTTTCATATGAATGAAGGGATTATTCTCTCGATCTTTGATTTGTGCCGACATCGGGTGTTCATGTTATTTCTATATTATCTCTTAACTTGCGACCCGCGCGGCTTTGCTCGGGTGCAATGCTGATACTAAATACACTACAGAAAAGCTGTGAACGCTGTATATAAAAACCTTCCTATTTATTAAAAAAAACCTTCATCAAATCCGTTGCGTAGTTTTAAAGATTCAAGCGCACATAGAGACAGAAAACGCGACTTTGTTTTATAATATGTAGTGATGATTTAAAAATCGAAAATTAATTAAAAAAAAATTCGACTCGGGCAGGACTTGAACCGGCATTGTCAGCGTCCCGTGCTGTTACTCTACCAATTGAGCTTCCGAGTCGAAATTTTTTTAATTTATTTTCGATTTTTAAATCACCACTACATAGTATAAAACAAAGTCGCGTTTTCTGTGCCTTCACGTGCAATAACATGTGAAAAATACACAAAAGTTTTCAAACTATGTAGTGATGTTTACAATGTTAACGTATTATCTTTATAAACACGTTATTACACTTTTTTGCCTATTGATTTTTTTTCCTTAATTATGCCTAGAAAACGTAAAGCAACAGTAACCTTTTTAAAGATTTCTTTATTCTATACGAGATCTTGTTCGGCTTGTTTAAAGTATTTAACAGTAATTGTACCGGTTAAACGTAACATCTGTTTTTATTCCCACTTAAAATGCTTTCTGATTAAGATAATATGTTGCGTATAAAAGTTTGGCAGTTTATTCAACGGAACAATTGTTCCACATTACAATCGTGCAAATTGAATGACCCATGATTCTTCGTGCTACCCCTCCCCGCAGTTTGATAGATAAACAGCTTAAGTCACTCCTTATGAATTATTTTTAAAAATGGAACCCGCCACTCGTTGATTATTACATTTTATTTTCCAAACATGTAAACAAAGTCGATTCCTCCTTCCTCATGAGCTCTCGTTGAGTCTGACTACGGAGACGGTTCCCAATTAGGCTTCTTTGAAGGTTGTCGTATATTTCACATTGCAGTCTGTCTCGTACCATCTTCGGTGAAAGCGTTAGCGGGGCTTCCGTGCCCCCATAATACTTTGCCCCACGTTTCAATTGAGACATATCCTATTACACGTCTGCTTCAAGGGTCTCCCACACACACCCTAATTAATCCACGCTCATCTCGGATCCAAACAATTAGTCACCACTCTGGCACCCGATCAGCCGTAGATGATGTTCTACGGCTCATTAGTCATTTGGTTTTTATGCTATTTATTTGGCTAATTTAGACTGCGTTGCCTCGAACAATTGAAGACGGGAAGGTGGAATTTGAAACGCCTGCTACCGTAGTGTTATTTCAAAGATCACAATTTACGTCTTAAATAGCGTTACCCAGTGAGGCCTAATGAAATCTGTTTAGCCGTTTTATTGTTTGTATTATCTTTAATTCATGATTTATTTAAATAAAACACTTAAACGGTTTATAACGCGATATATTAGCTAAACTACGCGTTTTAAACCGTTAAAGTGTTTTATTTAAAAGGCACTATATAGTTTGAAAAATCGAAAATAAATTGAAATTCTTAATTTATTTTCTATTTGTCTCCCCGTGAAAACGGTTGCTGCAAAGCATCCGAAACGTCGGGCCGAAGTTAAAAATCATTTTTAAATAAGTTTAGCTAGTCTATGCCCTGCCCGACCGTAATTCTTATCTTTCTCCGGTTCGAACATAAACTAGTGCAATGCTAGACAATACGTTTAGCATTTTACCGTACAATGATTTTGTAACAATATAAGTAATTTTTAACTATTCATAATTATATCTTTGTGAATATTTTAGCTGACAATAATAGTTAAGTTCACATGTACTCTGTGGCTATTGTGTCTGTGTGTGGCCCCGCCTCGGTCTTTGTGGCTAGCATAAGGTTATGTAGACCAGCATTACATTACCGTACGGCAGCGGGCACTGATTCAATATCCTCTATTCGTAGACAATGCAGAAGGGTCGACGGTTTTACGCAGCTTATTCAAATGGACGTATGGATTATGCGGAGCTGATGCATAATATTGAGAGTGGCGTCGGTTACGTGCAACTGATGCATTTTCATATCTGTAATAAACATAAACTCCTTAGCCCAATGGTAGTTTAGGTAGTGGTACTTTATGACTAATCAAAAGGTCGTTAGTTTGATTCCTACGAGTCTAACATTTTTCTGAAACATCTTACATCTGGATTATCGGGACATTGAATGTAAAAGAGTGGTAACTAAATTCTTCCTAGTTTAAGAACCAGCGTCCGCAGATAATGCCATAAGTCTAAATGAATGTTAACTCGAAGCTCGTTTTGGCTGCTGTTTTATCTCTATCTATACGAATATATGAAGCTGAAGAGTTTGTTTGTATTTTTGAACGCGCTAATCTCAGGAACGACTGGTTCGAAATGAAACATTATTTTTGTGTTGGACATATCGCGATGTACTGAATAGGAGCGAAGAAACAGCGGGAAATGTGAGAAAAATAACGGGAAAAAATATTCATCTATTCTCTGCAAAACGGTTCAAGATACCCAAAAAATATTAATGAAGGAATTATTTATTCCTCTTCAAAGAACTTAAAAAAATGTCCGCGACACTATATGTCGTATTTTTTAGATGAACTTGCAAGAACGACGGGACGCGACCGACGTCGTTAGTAACAGCTTAAATTTATAGAGAATTTGAATGTCCAACATAACTATTCTACACGAACGAAGTCGTTAAAATAGCTAGTTAAATATATTTATGTAAAAGAAGATATATGTTCAATTAAGTTACAAACCTCGTATTTTGGGTATGGTATGGTATATAATATACTTAGCTTTTTATTTATTTTATCATGTCTGTTAAGAGATGTTATGCTTTATTAATTTAAAATAAAATAGTAATGTTTAATAAATTTCTCTCTCTAACAACATTTACGGAATAAATTAAAAATCTCAAGAATCTCGCATTCAAATGTGGGTACATTGTTTATCATTTTACTAATCACATAAGCGGTGTTTAATATGTTATTTTACTATAACATTCAATTTAAAAATATAATTCTTGCTAGTAATTTTGCACTAGTAATTTTATCAAGTACGCGCCATAAATATAGCTGAAAATTCAGCGTTGCAACTGTAGACACTGGTTAATTAAAGTGGAAACAAAGAGTGGAGCCGCTGCTATAATATTCTGTTTTTTGCGCGGCTTAAGTAGGCATTCAGTTGCTCTGCGTATTTTATTCTTAGAGACGAGATCTAACTATCGTTTCATAAAACCAATAATATTATTGGCTTACCTTATATACGTTATATTAAAAACAAAAATTACCTCAAAATTCAAGCCTCAGTTAAAGTTAAACTAAGCCCCTCAACTTAAACTTAACTTTAACTTATTTTTGTTAAGCTAGTCTAGTAGATTCGCGAACAATCGCATATGTAAAGTTTCGAATCGAACTAATAAATTCGATATTCAAATTAGGAACGTTTTTGTTTCAGCTTTCGTAATCGGAAATAGAATCGTTCGATAATGAAATATCCTTTTGCCATTTTTAACGAATCAATATACTCGCTTTAATTATGTCTAAAATAAACACTTTAAAATGCTATATATATCGGTTATATATTGTTTTAACTACGACCTGTCGGTTCGAATGCAGCAGCAGCCGTGGCCGCGGGGCTTTAAAAGGTTTTTATTTAAATTATTCGGTCTCGCGTAAACTACAGACAATGCTTTCTTCCTGTATTAAATACTAGCTGTGCCAGTGACTTCGTTCGCGAGAATC